CCATCACAGAAGAATTCTCTCATCAAGACTCTGTATCATAGAGCCCAATGCATATCCGACCAGGAACACATAAGCAGTGAACTCAAGCACGTACACCAAGCTCTTAGGGCTAATGGTTACTCCGACTATACAATCCGCAAAGCTATCACTCAAACCATGAAGAAGAACCCTCTTGAGGAGCCTTTCAAAACCATCACTTTACCCTACATTGCTGGGATCACAAAAAGATCTCCAAAATCTTGAATAAACACAAGATCCAGGTCCGTTTCAACACATTACATAAAATCCGTGATCTGGTTCCGTCTGTAAAAGATGTGATTCCGGACATACAATACCCTGGTGTCTACAAACTAAGTTGCCTCTGTGGTAGTAGTTACATTGGAGAAACCAAACGCCATATCTCGGACCGCATTCGTGAACATAAAGCAGACCTTAAACACGGTAGGACCAACACCTCGGCCGTAGCAGATCATTGTTCTAATTCAGTAGGCTCACATGCCATTGACTTTTCCAAGACGGAGGTTCTTTGTAAGCCATCTGGCTTCCATGAGAGATTCGTTCATGAGGCTATCCACATATACAAGCACAGAGACAATTTCAACCGAGAAGATGGATTCTATCTTAGCAATCATTGGAAAGATTTGATAAATCATTTCAGTTCTTGATTGATTGTTCACGCTTACAGTGGCTTTCAGACAGCATACATAAAAACAAATTTCGTCTCCCCCCTCCTCTTTTCAAAAAATAGATGGACTAGTCCTGGGCAAACTGCCAATCGTTGCGCGTGACGCAAACGTTATTTTTTAAATATATATATAAATAAATATGTCGTTTTCAAAATAAATTTATGCAAACCGACACACCTGATGATGACCGTTTGAGTTATGGTCGAAACGTCGTGAGAATTTTTTTATTGTTTTATATATATTTTGTTATTTTGTTGTTTCTCTTCAACGTGACTTTACCGAAAAAACTAAGAATATGAATTACTGCAGTCACGAAAGCTTTAAATCAAAATTTGTTGTCACCTTCTCACCAAGCTGCTTGGCAATGGTCTTGTAGCCCATTTCAGCCTTGTGTATGTCTACAATCTTGTCCCTGACATCCTTGGACAACTCTTTGGTCTTGGCCATGGTGGAGAGTTTGGAATCTGATTGATTGATTGCTTCTGTGGACAGGTGTCTTTTATACAGGTAACACGCTGAGATTAGGAGCACTTCCTTTAAAAGTGTGCTCCTAATCTCAGCTCGTTACCTGTATAAAAGACACCTGGGAGCCAGCAATCTTTCTGATTGAGAGGGGGTCAAATACTTATTTCCCTCATTCAAATGGAAATCAATTTATAACATTTTTGACATGCGTTTTTCTGGATTTTTTTGTTGCTATTCTGTCTCTCACAGTTCAAATAAACCTACCATTAAAATACTACACTAATCATTTCTTTGTCAGTGGGCAAACATACAAAATCAGTGGGGGATCAAATACTTTTTTTCCCTCACTGTATGTTATGTAACTTATTTCGCATCGTACATAGCCAACCATGCTAATCAGAGGTTATATGCTCTATAAAGCTCATGAGCGTTGGACTGCATTCGTGTTTCGAACACAAGCGTGAGATGTGCAGGTGTGCTTATATTTGATTGCACCAGTGTTGGAATTCTTAACATTCCAAGACTTTACGAGGAGCACCTCTCTTACCCAGCCAACATTCACTCCTTTAGCTCGATGATAGTGCCAAGCATGTCATGTACTGTGTGCATGGCATTTTGTTAGGGTAGGGAAGTAGGAAAAGGTCAGGTATTATTTGTAATATTCCGAAATTAGGCAGGACCCCTCCCGCCCCCCGGGAAGCTGCCTGCTAATTATGGGATGAGCAGCAGACAGCCACATGTTGGCACAGCTCCTGCGTATGTTCTTTGGCATTCATGTTTATGCACACACATGTATCTGTGTACAAGCATGTGAATTCACTTTTGAGCACGTGACTGTGTACGTGCAAGCACATGTGGCTACTTATTTGCGTGAATGCACATGTTCAGGCAGTCCTGTGGTGTGTAGCGGTCCTTTTGAAGGGAATTTACACAGCATAATTTTTAGGTATATATAATAACATTGTGTTCCCGGGGGTGGGTTAGTGGCTGGAACTTCTGCACATCAGGAAAAGTTTAGCAGCCACACAATGGGAGACACAGCTGTAGTATAAACACAGGCCCCTAGTCTACGTTACATTCTGGCACCAAGATTTAATTTAATTTTGTGCTTCTTTGAAACTTTGTTTGACTTCATAATGTATATATTGGTAAGGCCACATAATTGATAATGAAAGATCTCATCTACTCTGCAAATGAATCCCAGGGTAACAAAAAAGTATCCAACTCAGTTTGCCTACCGAAACGAGCAGTGGGTGGCACCCATTTCTCTTGGCCAGTGGTAGAAATTATATAAACATCCATATAAGAAATATAATTATAGTATGCAGATTATACTAAACTAGCTAAACTAATTTTAGTTTAGCAGGTATGGCCCACTAGCTATGTAGCTCTTTTCAAAAGCGACCCGGCCACAAATAATAGCTCAAGGAAGTGGCTTATCGTGTGGAAATGTATAGCAGCCAAATACTCCCAACGCATATTGATTCTAAATGTGGAGGGAAAAGTCTATGTGACTACAGGGACAACATGCAAACTCCAAATATACATGCATCAGGGTTGGGATCGAACCCACGACCTCCTGTATACCGGACGAGGTAGTTAACATCTCGCCACCATGGTGCCCCAAAAAACTGAAACATATAGATTCAGTAGTGACTGGTATAATAATGCATCTGGATTCTGGAGTATGTGTGTGATATATGATAACTCAATAAGGTCCAATTGCAATTATTCACTATCAATGGCATTTATAAATGAAAATGTTGTTTCGTTATCATTGTGGCTAGTTAATTTTTGTTTAATAAAATTTGTATGTACGTAATATTTGGACTTATATAACATCTCAAAGCATCAGCATATCAAAACAATGTACAAAAAGCAGGACACGCCCATTGTAGGAAAACCGCATGCTGTCTGGCTGAGATATCATGCTTAAAATATGGATATGTTTTTGTGATGGGTGAAAACAATTCTCAGTCACTTCCCAGCTTGCAAAGGTTTGCCTGGGTTAGATTCTTGACTCTTCATCAGAATATGTTGAGTACAAATTCGAATCAGGGACATCATCCATTATCCCTCCAGACTTGATCAAATTTGTACTTTTTGTGGAATGTTGACAGTGTTTCAAGCAGAGTAATGGTACCAGCTTGGGGAGGCTTTCATCCATCAGTAGATTGAACATAGCTTTTATGATGATAGTTATTGTAGGGAACGTAGCATTTCTGCGACCGACTCCCCAATATTAATTTGATCAGGTAGACACCGACATAATCAAGTCAGAGGCTCCATGGGGAATGGTGTCACCAACATCAACATTAGCTCTCTTTGACAACAACCTGGCATTGTGCAGTTACTTTTGAAATATTCGACGAACCCATCAGTGCATGAAGCCTTAACAATTTTTTTCGAGGTGCAAATAATTAATTTACCATTTTGGAAACTAGATAAAAAAAGTTGCATAAAACACCTCACGTTATTTGTTTTCCTAAATACTGGACACTTCTAAGTACCAGTCGTGAAAATTATGAAATTGCAATCATTAAAAGTTATTTGTTTGATGACTGACCTAGTGGCCAGAGAAAATATTTGTTATTGTCTCAGGGGTCATTGAAACAATGCAAACATCTCTTTGCGTCATTGCTCACTGGCAAATGTAATTAAGGATTCAGTAATTTATGATGGGTGTGTCGGCACAAACGGCTAAGAGACTTAGAAACCCAGCTGGTAATTCCAGGAATCCTCATTAAACGTTGGGCTACGTGCAACCAAGCTTGTATTTTTAGTGTCAAATTAACTGTAGATGCTGACAGATGGATGTTTACACACCTTGGTGAAGAAGGTAGACCAATCCATAATAATTCACAGCCCTTTTATCACTCCACTGCTGGATGACGGCCTCACTACAACATGTCGATCGTGCGGGTTACTTGACCATACTTCACTAGTCTGGTCAGTGCTGGTTAGTGAAAGGGGCCCAGTACCAGTTAAGATACCACCGTGGCCAAGAATCAAACTCAGGTCCCCGGGTTCATAGTGCTATGTGCTAACCACTGCGCCACGGCTCCACGGCCAGATTGCATTGTTGTCAGTTGAACTTCTTTCGTATCGTACGTAGCCAACCGTAATAATCGGAAAGACACTGAATAGCTGTCCATTTCCTGTGCTATTACTCTGGTTAAAACTGAACCTCCAGCGCTGTGTTATGGCAGATGCGAACCATCCCACAAATCGGTGTTCTATAGCCCATTGCCTGCCCCATCTAGGCCTCTAATAGATCTGTATGTACTGGCATTGAAATTCCTGATTCAAATTCAGATTTCAGCCACTTAAAAAAATATATTTGGTAACACAGAAAAGTACTAATATAGCAGGATATTTAGAATGTATCCATACATGCCCATACAGTGCAATAACAATAACTCATTTCCATTCCTGACACACGTATTTGAGTGATGTTTTATATGTGATAGACAGTTGAGTCATTGAATTGAGTATCACTCTGTGGGAGTTCAGCAACAGTTGTCTTTTGAGTAAAATGGTTCTTGTAAAGAATTTTGACCATTGGCTCATGGGTTCTCAGAGAAGAATGCCACCCCAAAGGTTTGTTTGAGCAGGGAGATCACTTGAGTTTGTTTTGTTTAACCAGGTGAGAAGTCAAGAGACCAAGATAGCCTCGAAATTATAAAAATAAAATCAAGCACGGCAATGAACTAAAGAGAAAACAACAAAAAAATAAAGAGGAAGACACTTTGATATTGGCATTGACATATCATCACCGAGTCCACGAAGAAAAACTGCAGCAAAAAGCACCAGTGTACAATCAATATATCTGCCGCTTTGTGTGAGCAGGTGACTGCCGATGAGAAGCACACCCAGAGCGTGAGGCTGCACGGCGATGTTCTCACCTCAGCGCTACAGCAGCTGGCCATCACTGCCAGGTGAGATGAAGCCAAGCTTAACATTGGCTTAACAATGGAGCCGATAATGGCTATGTCAGAGTACCAAGCCAACAGCACTGAGATTCCTGGCTCAAATCTGTATTTATGCCATTTTATTTAAATAGTTTCAAATAACACACACGTGTGTTGTCTGAAACACGCACGTGTGTTATCTGAAACACACACGTGTGTTATCTAGATTAGAAACAACAATAGTTGTACACGACCAATGTTGCAAATTCCATATGACGCTCCTATATGGGTATCGTAGGTGGTTATCTTGAATGTTATATTTCCACCATGAAGATGGACATCACTCCGTTTTAAGCAGGGAGACACTTTGGCTATTGACTTGTGCAGTAATGATAAGCTTTGGTTCTGCAATTGTACTTATGGCCATTAACATATTGGGAAAGAGAAATTTTCTGAGCTGAAAAGTCAATTCTATTACATGTATTTCCTCGTAATACCTGCATAATTACGATTCATTGCACACAGCAAATTTGTACAGCGCAAACATGTATAAACTCATATGTATGCGTGAGTAACCATTATTACTCACTTGGGGTCATATGTTATGAAGCATCTTACAGTCATTTGTGAGTGTTAGACTTTTTGAGGAAATGTGCAAAAACAAGACGAACCAGTCTGGGTTATTCCTATAGCCAACTACTGTCTGGCTTTACGTCTGACTCAGTGGCTTTGTTTGGCCTTGTGCCCATCTAGCATGAGAAAAACACAATGCACGCACATTATTCACAAGTTGTACTAGTCAGGTGGCGCTGTGGTCAGAATCCTCGACTCTAGAATCAGATGTCACATGTTGAAATCTCAAGGGGTTGGCTCCGTAAATTATCCGGGTTGATACGTACCACGTTGTGGGAGGTCAAAAGTGGTTATCCTATGGAAAATACTGGGTATGGGTATGGCAATGTAAAATGTCTACAAATGTCTCAGGCCTGTCAACGGAGATGACTACCCTTAATTTGAGCAGACTAACACGGACTTTTCACGAACTCTAATTGGTTGAGAGTCCACCTTGGTGTTAACATTTTCATATTTTGCGAAAAGTCTATGGAAGATGTGCTGGATGAATGTATGTTGAATATTATGTATTTTTTCAGTTCTACTGCAGATGTGACCGTGGCATCCCTGGCTTCTGAGATTCTGCAGCACATCCTGTGAAAACGTGACTGAAGAATATACTTCTTCCATCTCAAAGTGTGCCTTATGTAAATACTTTTTTAAAGTTAAATTACTTAGTTTTGGGAGAGAAAAAATTATCTTAATAGTCAATCATGTAAGTAAATTATGTGAATACAAAGTGTCTTTGTTTTACGATGTTGCCCTGCATTGTTGCATTACATTACAAAATAAATGAGTTTGGATCCAATTATACCTTTAAATTAGGATGAAATTTGAAAATCGTTGTTTATAGACCTATTTTTGAGGAAGCCCATGAACAGCATGGATCCTGTTCACAGTAGTCAGCAATTTTTTCTCCATTTTGAAAATAAATTGCAATATGGTCGACAAGTAAAAGCACAAAGATATCAACAAAACCCAGAGGTGGCAAAATCACTCAATGGTCTCAATGGCCATGTTCGAGAGCCAGTGGCACCACCCAAACTTAGGTTTAAAATCTCGTTTCAGATACGGGTTTCAGCTTGCTGTTATCCAATGGAAGAAGTTATATTCTTTGGTCTTTCGGTAAAGCCACGTAAAATAAGAAAAAATGTCCGTCAATGTTAAGTGTGATTGCAAGAGAGTCTTGTCTAAATTGTCTAGTTCAAACTCTTTGGTTCTTTTGGTAAAGTCACGGAGATAGAAAATTATTAGATCACGACGTTTCGATCGCAACACAAGCAACCGTCATCAGGTGAGAAAAACAGCAGAACTGCTGATGCAAATATCAGCAGTTCGTAACTGCAGGAATTCATATTCTTTGGGTCTTTCGGTAAAGCCACGTAGATAGAAAAAATAATAAAAATATAACGTTTTGATCGCAACACAAGCAATCGTCATCAGGTGAAAAAAACAGCGGGAGACCTGCTGAGGCAGGATGTTATAAAGGTTTGAGATGGGTGTAGCCCAAGGGTCACAAGCGAAGTGGGCGGGGCTAGTGATGAAATTTGCATGTCAATGTAAGATCGGGTAAATCGGAGAGCCACCTCCACGACGACGAAGCTGCGGAGGTGGCCATTGTATTGTGAGAGATTAGCATCTCAATGGAAGATCTATCTACGTGGCTTTACCGAAAGACCCAAAGAATATGAATTCCTGCAGTCACGAAAGCGTCAAGTCAAGATGGAAGAAGTTAGTTTCAGCCCCTTGAACAATGGCTGCATAATAAAAAGCCACCATGGTTTAGTTCGTGTTATAAAAAAAATACATGCTGTTAATCAGATGACCAACATTTTAAACCGTTGGTCTGTGCGGGCCACCATTTTGCCACTGCCTTCCTGGGGCCTTCACGCTCCCTCTTCTTGGTATCGTGGGGAGCATTCTGCCATGGCATCCCCACAGACAGGACACGAAAAACAGCAGGCATTGTTTGCTTTTAAAGAGACATTACTCACCTCGCATCCCCACACCGTGCTCGGCAGCCATCCTTGGCACCAGTGTTCACCCTCACGAGCAGATGTGGCCTCGATTGAGTCAACGCTGGCTTTATTTGCCATGGTGAACAGCACATTTTTGTGGAATGAAAGTCCAACTACGTGTCCTGTCAATGTTGCATTATAAAAAAAAACCTTCGAGGGACAGGGCTAGAAATTAAAAACATTCAGATGACAGAGCATCAGTTGTTACATCAGCTGTGTTGTGGAGGACCCCATGGGAGTCACTATGGGCTTTGTTTTACACTTCTGAGTGCCAGATGAAGTTTGTATTTGAGCCTGTTGTCCGTCGCCAAAATAAATCCAAACTTTCCCACTATTTTTTCAAGACTTCTCTTGATTAGATTATATGCACTGCTTACACGAGCAATATTAAATTCTGCCAGAATTTGTTGTGGCAGAGCACTGAACCGTCAGTAGGTTGTAAGTTGACATCCCATTCCAGGATTAACCCAGACCGAGATTCCTCTATAGCAGTGGTTGTTAACCTTTAGTGCAGCCTTGCACCCCTTTGGTTCTCAATCGTAAAAAACAAAGTATGTTAATACATAGGTTTAATTAAAAAAGTAGTCGTGCTTAATTTGTTGACGATTTACCTTCTAATAAAGCTGGCATGTCTCACACCCCCAGACAGGGCATCTCGCACTCCCACGGGGGGTGTGCACCCCAGATTAAGAACCACTGCTCTTTAGCCGTAAAAATCAATGTAATTTTGTACAAACTTAACAGCAGACATCCTTTAGAGGCTAACTCCAACTATTGAAAAGATTGTAATGTAACAAGGTTTTTCGGTCAGCATACAAGGCTTCCTTAATGTTCTCATTATGTCTGACACTGTGTCAAGGTGAATTGCTGGAGCCCAATGTCTAATATTATGGAAACATGTGGATATGCCATCAACAGGTGGGCATTGCTCGTTAATAGACTATGATGATCACACAGTATCGCGAGTTTTGTCAGCTGCTCAGTTGTCAGCTGTCCTAAGACATGCAGCAGTCACTTAATGCTGTGCAACGGTGTTAAACAGAAACAGTGACGACCAGCAAGTGTAAACATTGGTTACAGTTGGCTTCTCACCTTGGAGCAAACCAGTTCTTCCATAAGGGGCTGGGCCCAGCTTTCATTGCTGCAATTTTAGCTTTTGGCCTGAGCTCAAACCACATTAGCTTCAGATCAAGCAAGAGTCCTTATATGGCAAGGTTCGTGAAAACACACCTGGTTGCTACAGGGCTTTAACAGGGGTTAGCAGCTTCAAAGGAGCAAGTGCTGCATCTACAAATTTGCTGTCAACTTAATCCAGCCGTAAACAATTGTGGACGTGACATTGAAATCCAGGTCAATTGGTTAAACTGCCCTACATTGTTTTAATATAGTTAAACATCCAATACTCCTAACATAAGTTACACGGCACGATAGTGTATATATTTATATGCATTGTGGCATTTGAAATTGACACAGCAATTAAGGGGACTTTGAAATAGGCGACTGATAAGCTCATGTTATTTAACAGCTGTGCAAGGCAGTATTAATACTATATTGTCAGTGTCTCCATATACAAATATGTGCAGTGGTGGTCATTTGTTAGAGGCCAAGGCAGTAAATTCCATATTGCAATTATAGGAAGCCAGTTTTACTATAGGACAACCACTTGTCTTCCCACTACCTCAGTGGGATGATATGACTGAGCTGACCTCCAAATGGAGGATTTTAACTCAACCTAATTTTTGAGTTGAAAACTCCTACAGTATTACCCAGTAAGGATTAAAAACATGTTAAGTTCAACAAAATTATAAAGTTAAAATGAAATGCTACAGCAGATGCATATCATTACGAATGACTTAAGTGATGTAAAAGCAGTCAGTTGAATGCAATAAACCTCTCAACATTTTACCTGAAAATCATTCTGCCAATGTGGCAGATTGGCATTGAACAAAATACGAAGACATTTTCCCACCAATGGCATTTAACATATCTTAAACATCATGACATGGTAATAAGTGGTCGCTAATCTAGTTTTACCACACCTTACACGAATAAAATATTTCTCACCGCTTTGACTGCAAACAGTACTTGTTAAATGTATAAATGTTAACACACCTATAACCAAGATACATGATCATCACGGAATAACGATGGAATCACAAAGTAAGGCTAGGCCACAACCAAGACGTTTACTGAACAGTAGCAATGCAAACACAAAACCACATTAAAAAAACCAAATTTACCCACAAGGCGCAATTTTTTACTTTCTAGAATTAAGCATGGCCAAGAGTCAGATTTCAAAGTTAACTTTGAAGTTGCTGCCTCAAGCACCTGACTTTTGAAATATATTTTAAAGGTGACAATTATACAATGACAATGGCTGGAGGCCACCATCAAGAAAGACATGGTCCCAGACAAGCCTTGCAAAAGCACACTTCGTTTGACAAATCCACATCAGATAAGATCACAAGAGATACAGCATGTCAGAGCTACGACTATTCTTTATTGTTTAATACTGGAATGCTCGTTTTACAAAAAAATGTTCATCAATTAGTGTCAAACCAACTGCAGTTATACAGAGAATTGTTTTAAAAAAAGGTCATGCAAAAGATTATTATTTTGGCACCTCTACACCTAAAAACCAAGCGTCATAAGTAAAAAGGAACGAAAAAGTCCATGAATATCGATTTCTATAAGAATTGTTCATTTTACTTGTGTGTATGTTAATGCTACAAAGATATTTTATTCAAATGTAATACAAAATTACACTAAAGTCTTTATGACCTAAAAATACAAGGAAAATAACCAGTTAAAAAACACGAGCTACATAATAAACTAGTCTTAATTAAAAGCTTACAGTATATCATTGAAATAGCCACCATGTAAGAAGGCCAACCCTCTTCCCTTTTACCGCCTCCATTTCAGCCAAAGTACACCATTGTACAAAATTGTCCGAAACAATCATTTCTTGAATATCAGGCACTTCCTTCGACTTCTTCCCAACTCATTGCCTCCGCACCCTTCAGTTCACTTGCTTTGTTCCTTCATCGGCAACAGTTTCTTAAGGGCCTTCTTTTGAGTTTCCTACAAACAAAATGCATTCATGATTAGACCATGGCATCAAAAGGACTTTTAAAGTTGCTGATGAATGGCTTACATCTTCAGTAAAACCTCTAAAAGCCAGATTAAAGCCAGAATTCAGGGCAAGCCATAATGCTTTCAAAATGGATACAACCTTTTCCCAATGGAATCGTAAGAAAAACGAAATATAAAATAACTTTATCGGGACGTCTTCAGGTCAGAACACATACTAAGGCTCCCACAAGGCCATGCGGGAGGGTGTGTGGCACAGTTTGGCGCAGTGCGGTCGTGTCGTTAAGAGTTCTCTGCAGTGAGTACTATGTCTTTAAAAACAACGGTGCAACGCCTCTAAATAAAATTAACGCTAACCGCTTCCGCGTTCCGAGATTCAGAGGTGAACAGGACCCACACCCTGCAACTTGCAGACATCTCGGAACGGGAAAGGGTTAAGCTGTAGATATAGAATGCAAATACGCGCAGCAATTTTAAAGCCATATGTTCTTCTAAATTTGTTCACAATTATTTTAAGTTTACTGTAAACATAATATAAATTCTTAAAACCCATGAATATCTATTCAAACTTCCACATCCAGTGAACCCTCAGACTTCCTCCTTCCCTCGACCTCTGCTTAACCATGAGGGCAACAGATTACTGTCCTGCAGGAATTTGTTGGTAATTGTAAATAGTTAATGTCATACAAGGCTGCTTAATAGGAACTACTTTAGATTATATCAGAATTTAGTATTTGCAGCCCGAAATTTGGGAGCAGTACTCTATTCTGGAGCACACAAATGAATTGTATTAGCAGCTGTTGCTCAAGAAACAGTGAACTCAAGGATTTGAGCAGTGCATTGTAGAAGCAACCATAACTTCCTTCAGTATCTTACTGTTTACCAACAGTCACTTATAGGTACAAGGCTTCATTGTCACACCCTACCAATCCCCCATCAGAACAAGTTGCAACTGAGAACCAAGGCATAATATATTAAACAGCCTCTCGAAAAAAATAACGGGGATAGGAACAAGAGCACAGGTACAATAATTGACAGGTAGCATAATAATGCTTATTGTGTCAGGTAAGCATAATATAACACATGACAAAGCCATACAGGTTAGGCTTGAGTGCAAATATATAAGGGGGTTCTAAGGAACTACGATGGATCAGTGACACATGAATTAAACTATCAATGAAGGCCCAAATTTGTATTTGAAACCAGACAATTATATTCATAAGATATTACTAAAAGATATTCCATCAGGGGAAGATGGGAAGGGACTAAGCTCAAAAGGGCCACACTTGAAAACAATATTTGAGCAAAGCTGTTTCAGAAACAGCATGGTTCTGTTCTAGTTATGTAT